GGGGCCGTCAATTAGCATACTCCCTCCATATTGTCTGTGAGCACCACCATCTTTGAGGACAGGGCAGTCAATTAGCATATTCCCTCCTTATTGGCTGTGGGTGCTGCCATCTTTGCAATAGCATGAGGGTCAATTAGCATATTCCCTCTTTATTAGGTAGGATGTGATCATCTAATTCCTACCCATCAAGGTTATATAAGGATTGACTAATTAAATAGGATAGAACATTTAATTTGTGAAAATTATTAGCAGTGCACCCTTTAAAATTAAATGTCTCTCTTCAAGATACTGTTAGAGTGAGGCCCCAGGTTTCACACTAATAAGCTCTACAGTGGAGTTTTGCACTATACAGTATTTCCCAAACTTTTGACATATGTGTACCCCTTCTATAATTTTTGTAACACTGAGTACCCCTCGTACTCATGACGTAGAATTAGGCACAGCTAAGCACATTGCAGTGCATATCCCCACCAAACTCCAGTGCAACACATACCCCCACCAGACTCTTCCCATACCCCTGGGGGTATGCATACCACACTTTGTGAAACACTGCAACCCAGTGTATATGTGTATGTAAGCATAAAACATATGCAGTTCAGCCTCCAGCCCACACTTAGGATTTAATGAGGAAAGTGGTTCAAATGTGTTTTTGATCAATACTCAGGTGACCCCTAGTGGAAAAACATAGAATTTGTGTATATTCTAAATTTCAGGTCAAGATAAAAGCAAATAAGCAACTTCATAGCAAGAATTCATTGTTTCTGAGAACATTTAATATAGTACACAAATCTAAAGCTCTACATGAAATCACTTCTATAATTCTCTTAACAACCCTATGATTAATAGGTAAAACATTTATACTGTTTTAAAGATGTAGAAACTGGGGCACAGAGATATTAAGTAGCTTACCAAGGGTCACACAATAAGAAAATAGTAGAGCTGAGGATCAAATGCAAGGAGTCCTAGACTCCTGTGCACTTGACCAAAATTCTCTATAGAGTATGTGGCATGTGGCATGTACATGATATCTTGATAACAAGTGATATAAAATTAAGTCACATAAAGGAAACAGAAAATTGACTACATGAAACAAATTAGCATCATAAAATCAAGCACTTCACTTAGGTTACAATTATATATTGTTTGAACTTCCTAGCACTGAAGTCTTATAAAATAAAATCTGATTATATGTTTCTCACATGGGAAAGATCTAAAACAGACAAACAAGTGTACTTCAGACAATTTTAAATATAAAGGTGGGCTGTAAAACCAACTCGTAGACACAGACAATAGTATGGTGGTTACCAGAAGGAAAGGGATGGGGAATAGTGAAGGGGTAAAGGGGCCAAATATATGACGACAGAGGATGACTTATCTTTGTGTGGTGGGTACTTAGTACAATATACAGATCATGTATCAAAGCAATGTACACTTGAAAATTTTATCATCTGATTAACTAATATCACCTTAATAAATTTAATAAGAATAAATAAATATAAAGGAAGAAGCATAGCAAAGTAAAAATTAGAAAAGGGAAAATTAAACTTGTGGTGACAGGCTCTGTTCCCCTTATTCTTGGAGCTCAGTTGTTGTGCTATTCTACAATAGATAATCCAGAAATGAACTCCTCCAGTAAGCTTTCTTTGACTCCAAGAAGTGGTTGATTAGGCTTCAATTGTGCTTCCCTAATATTCTACCCCAGTCACTGCAAACATAAAATAATCTGAATAAATCTACATGTGGATTTTCTCCTGGGACTAAACTAAAAACCTCTTGATTGTTCACAGTATGTGTATTTGCCTTACATCTCTACACTCACTTGTGTGATTTTCTTTTATATAACAGGTGCTTTGTGAATGCTCCTAGACTAAAATTATGACATAAATTATTTGAAAATTTATTTTAGTAATATAAGCTCAAAAAAATGGCAGATACAAGTCATTAAAAACCTCCAACTGCCTCTTTTCTTCTAAGACAAGTGTTATAAATCTGTTTTGTTACTCATTTTAAATACCCCTACATTATTCTCCTGAACACAATAACTATATCTAATTGTCATTAGCATATGACACTAAGAATCTATGCAATAACAGGTCTAGGTACAAAGTACAACTATCTGGCCAAGATGGGGCAAATGAGTTGTCAGAGTGAATGTGGCTAAAGATCTAAAGAATGGTTAGATGTGGAAAATCTAGAAGAGAGTGTTTGAGAGACATATTCATGATCACTATTTTTTATAAATAGAGTTAGTTCTAAATTCTTGGGATGGGGAGATAAGTCAATTATCTTATTGATAGGGTATATCTTACTAGCTTATATCTAATATAAGAGATGTGGATTCACAATAAGGAAAAGATATAAGATGAGGCAATTTTTGTGTGAGAACATTACCTGCTGAATTTTGTATAATTATTCCTTTTGAATCTGAATCAAAACATGTAATTTCATTCATGATCTAACAATGGGACAGAATATTTGCAACCAGTCACACCAGAAACAGTCATTGGAAGCTGTGGTAGTAAACTTAAACTTGAAGAAAGATCATAAATAATGAAGGGGAGGGAGAACTTTATTTTATTTTATTTTATGTTTTTTCAATTACATTTGACACTCAATATTAATTTTAGGTGTACAGCATAGTGAATAGATGTATACAACTTACACTGATCATCTTGATCAGTATAGTGGATACCATACATAGTTATTGCAATATTATTGACTTACTCCCTATGTTGTGGAGTAGGAGAGTTTAAATGATAATGATGGCTCAGATATACTAGTAAATGTGATGTGTCCTAGATGAGAATAACAGCTGTAATTAGTAAATATGCTAATATAACAACTAACTTTAGAATCCCATTTTCAAATCTGCAAAGCATATTCATCAACAGTGGTGTGTTTTTTAATCTTAGTACCAACTCCTGGAGGTAGGAAAGCAGGTAATGAAATTTAGAATGAAGATCATATATAAAAACTGAGATATAAAGTTACCAGCAAAGAGTCCACAAAGCCAGAGAAATAAACTCTCCTGGGAAGGGTAGAAAAATAATAACAAATAACTGGACCAAAGACAAGGGTTGGAGAAAGAAGTAGAGACAGTGCAAGAGACAATCCCTTCCTTTGTTGTTTTTTTAGGTATAAGCTTTGATGGAAGTCATTGGTGCATGTCAGTGAATAATCATGGGTTTGAGTTTCTACCAGAATGAAAGATGTATGTACTTTTAAATTATCTCGGTCCAGACTCTATTTATGTATTATGCCTTCAGTAAACTTTAAAAATATCAGCTGTTGGCCAATTCACATTCTCAGCAAAATGGAAATAACCACAAGAGAATAAGCGATAATCTCTTTGGATATTTGTGAGTATTTTTAGAAAGTTGGCACAGAAGGCAGAATCCTTGGTTAGACAAATGTGGCTTAATTTAAGATGACTAGAGCTCACAAAAACAGTAAAAAAAACAGGCTCTTGTATTTTTTTTCCTTCCTGGATAGTCTGGTTTCACAGGAAGTGAGTGAGGAGGCATTCAATGGGAAGGAATATTACTGCACTAGGGAATAAGAGATTCTATTATGTCTAACTCCACATGTAAGACTTCTTACTGTGTGCCTAGAAAAGCCATTATTAATTCTGTGTGCTTCAGTTTCCTCTTCCAAGAATGAGATTTGGCTGATTCCATTCTCACAAGATATGGCCCTGATCCTCCTCACCCCTCATCTCATATTCCCATCTCACACATATCCAGACACATCAGCCTCTTCTGTCCTTCATTTATGTCACCTGTTTCCAGCCCAGGGCCTCTGCATTCCCTATTCTCTCTGTCATTGTTATTCTCAACCAGTTTTATTCACCACTTCACTCAGCTTTATTTCTTATTGGTTATATTACTATTTTAAAACAATGAATATTTATATTCTCTCTTCTTATTTGGTACACTTCCCAGAATATAAGCTCCATAGAAGCAGGAAAGATCCTTTTTCATTATTATTGACCTCATATTCTGAATCCTTAGAATAATGTTTGGAATATATTACCTACTCAATAAATAATTTTTAAATCATATATATATATATATATATATATATATATATATATATGCAGTATTCTACATCTTTTTTATCACAGCATATAGTATTTGCTCGCTTCTAATGCTTGTGACATTTATATGCATCTGACCATGAATGTTATTTTATTATAATCTGGTCCTCTTCATCCCCTTTCTCACTGCCGAAGTGTGTCTTCTAATTGACTTTTCTTGCAATCTAGAAAATACATTCTATACATAAGAGCTCCACTAGTCCTATGGACAATGAAGTGCATTTTTAACTTCAGTGTTCAAATGAACTTTCTGGAAGTCTCATCTATGTATAATGAGGAAGGGAGCCAAGGTTTTTTAAGCACTCACAATGATACATCCATCCAGTGCTTTGCCTAGCTCTTCAACTATTTTATATCCTACTGGGGAGCTCATTTCCTCAATGTGTCTTGGAGCCTGGAAACTACTCTACTCTCCCAGCACCAGTGCCAATAGCCCTGGCATTGATAAATATACTATTTTTCTCATTTCCATTACAACACTGCTGATAGAAATCATAGTTTATAGCATAGTTTTACTAAAAATATTTTGTGTACAGGGATGGGACATTTAAAGGCATTTACAATGAAGCATAACATGAAGAGTAATTAGAATAAAATATTATTATAAATGTCTTATGTTCATCTACTAATCTCCTCAATAATAATTTCTGATTGATATTTTTACTTTTAGTCTCTGTTCTTCTATATCTCTAATTCAACACATTTTCTTTCTCCAAAGTCTCAATTTTCAATTTTTTTTTCATTTGGAATAACTTAGCTCTCTATTTTCATCTCCTTTTTCCTGATCAGACACAGTAAAATTTCCATGAGCAAACAACTCATCAGGTAATTTTTCTACATAGAATCATCTCTCTTATAGAGGTGATACCATTTTTCCTGGTATGCAAAAGTGCCTGCAGGCAGTTCTGACTTTCAATAGTGTTTGCTTTTATCAGTCTTGGTACATTAATACACTATACACTTACCCTAGCTTTTCCATTGTGCATTATTCTATACCTTTGGTAGAAAATAAAAGTATGACCTTATCTCTGATCTGTTTGGTCTTGACTCCATACACAATGGGGTTGAGTGCAGGTGGAATAACTATATAGAGGTTGGCAAACATGATGTGGAAAGTAAGTGAAACATTATGTCCAAAACGATGAGCCAGGATGGAGAAAAAGGCAGGTGTATAAAACATGAGAATGACACAGACATGGGAACCACAAGTGCCAAGTGCCTTCTGCCGGGCAGCTCTGGAAGGGAGGTGAAAAACAGCACAGAGAATAAGAGCGTAAGAAACAGCAATGAGAATCACATCTGAGATGACTGTCATGATGGGAACACAGAAGCCATACCAGATGTTGATGGAGATATCAGCACAGGCAAGCCGGGCAACACCTATGTGTTCACAGTATGTGTGTGGTATGATGCGTGTCCGACAGAAAGGCAGACGTGTGAGCAGGAATACATCTGGCAAGATGATACAGAAGCTTCGAAAAGAGATGCCCATGGCAATCTTGATGATCATCTTTGGGGTCAAGATAGTGGTGTATCTTAAGGGAGAACAGATGGCCACATAGCGATCAAATGCCATAGTCATCAGGATGGCTGAATCCAGGACAAAGCTATAGTGGAGGAAGAACATTTGTGTCAGGCACCCTGGGAATGTAATTTCTCGAGCCCCAAGCCAAAAGATGCTGAGTGTCTTAGGAACACCAGCTGTGGACAAGATGAGGTCAGTCATAGCCAGCATGGAGAGAAAGAAGAACATGGGCTGGTGAAGGCTACGCTCCACTGCGATGAGGTAGAGAAGGATGCAGTTCCCCACCACAGCCACGATATAGATGATACAGAAAGGAATCCCAATCCACACGTGGGATTGCTCCAGGCCTGGAATCCCCACCAGGATGAAGGGCCCTGTGTTGTAACTGCTCAGGTTGAAAGTGATCATGGCAGATCAAAACGGCCCAGATCCTGAGGACAGAGGGTGATAGAAGATAGTTAAGGGTTACTTGGTTCACTCTCATCTCCAACCATTCATCATTATCGATTCCTAAGGATAAACTGATCATATAATTTATTAATCCAAAATAGGAATTTTCAAAGTGAATAAAGATTGATATCATAATAATGGCAGGGAACATGCATAAACGACAATCGTCTCAGATGTATTTGCAATGTATGATTGTTAGTCTAAGTAAAAAGAATATCTTCTCTCTTTTTTCTGCTGATTTAAACAACTTTTCCCAAATAACCTTCCAAATTGGCTACAATCACTCTTTTCATTGTACAGTATATTCCTAATACAAATTAGCAAACTATAGAAAACTCAGTTATAACTAACTTATAACTCAGTTTAAAATTAGAAATGTTTTCTATAGCTATTGCAAAATAATAAAAATTAAAAATTGTGCCGGAACCGGTTTGGCTCAGTGGTAGAGCGTTGGTCTGCGGACTGAAAGGTCCCAGGTTTGATTGCGGTCAGGGGCATGTATGTTGGTTGCGGGCATATCCCCAGTGGGGGGGGTGCAGGAGGCAGCTGGTCGATGTTTCTCTCTCATCGACACTTCTAGCTCTCTAACTCTCTCCCTTCCTCTCTGTAAAAAAATCAATAAAATACATTTTTTTAAATTAAAAATTGTTTTCCAGAACCCTATATGCTATACAGCTGTATAACAATCTAATCTTTTGGACTTACTGGCACTATTAGTCAAGATTGCTGTCGAAAAGAAAATTTTTTCCTTGTCAACACGTATTCTTGAAATAGACAATAGACTCCCAGTACACATACTTTCTCAGATACAGGCACACACTTAATACTTACAAGCTCAAATATACTCTGAACTATATTTACATTCTTTCATTCATCTTACCATCATATATTTACCTTACATTATCTTACACAAACATAACCCTCCCTCTCTCCCTCTCTTCCTCCCTCCCTCTCTCTCTCACACTGAACTTATACATTCATGCACACATACACACACATATGCACACACCAGACACCTATGCACTACACATATGCACACCAATGAAATCACACGAGACATATATGCACTGCACACACACAACAATTAAATCATAAACAAAATATTCTATGATTGGATTGATTTTGGCACTTCCATTATTATATAACTGCCCAAAACCTTTACTTGAAAAATTTCTTTTTTAAAGACTAGGCTCCAATACCTGCTTCCTTCTCCAGTAATGTGTAATCTACAGATAACAAACTACACCAAGGCCAGGGATTCCCAAGGTCACAACTAAGAGGAAGTATATGATGGCCATATGCCTCAGGTTCCAAACCTGACAAGGACATAACTCACCTTCAATCTTATCTTTACCCCTACTTTAAATCTCATTCTTAGGTCCAGCTCACCAAACCTTCCATCTCCCAGACCAATACTTAATTTATCCAGTCTTCTGCTTTTGCCAAATGAGGAACAGAATGCTCTCTTCTTTTTTTTATGACCATCCCTTATCTATAAATAAAAACACTTTCTTACAGCAACTCAAAACCTTCCTCCACTGTGTCTTCATAATCCAGAGCCTGTAGGTTCTGAGAACACAGCTCAGAGTTCAGGCTGTGGGCCAGGCAGTCCAGCCCCATCTGCTGAGTATCTGTGTTCTCCAATTTAGCTTCATGTTGGCTCTTTTGTCCATTTGGGTTCCCAGGCTCATCTATTGTCAACAGCAAAGATCTGATTGGGACATTGAAACCTCTCTTCTGTGCTCCTTATGTATTCCAACAACATATGGCATCAGCCCCTAAAATTATATACTTTGAATCATAGCTCTTCCAGCTTGACTGAGGTCATCCTTCCTTTATACAAATGTGAACAAAAGTTTTTTCTAGCTTTTATATTTTTATGCACTCAGACACAACAGATGTTTATACAGTCATTCAAAAGTGCTTACAAATATACATGGGCACACATTAAGAAAGTTCATCTAGCCAAAACTGGTTTGGTTCAGTGGATAGAGCATCGGTCTGTGGACTGAAAGGTCCCGGGTTTGATTCCGGTCAAGGGCATATACGTTGGTTGTGGGCACATCCCCAGTAGGGAGTGTGCAAGAGGCAGCTGATCAATGATTCTCTCTCATCGATGTTTCTAACTCTCTATACCTCTCTCTTCCTCTCTATATAAAAAAACCACAATAAAATATATTTTAAAAAAAGAAAGTTCATCTAAAGCTTATCATTCTACAATAAATTCACAATGTGCAGCAATCTACATGACAGGCTGCTTTTTGCAATAAGTCGATGACATTAAAAAGAGTTGGGGCTTAAATGAGGAAAATGCAATTCCTGACTGGATTCTGATTAAATAAGCCAGGTATAAATGAAAAATAGTGTATAATTGGGTAAATTTTAATATGAAGTAGGTATTACATGATATGAAGTAATTAGTATTACTTTTATTAAATGTGATTATAATATTATGATATAGACACACATACACAAGTGCCCACAGTATCTTAACAAAATGTTGGCAAAGAGTATATGCTCTGGAGCCAGAAAAGTAGGCACTTCAATACCACTTCTATAATTAACTAGCTGTGTGAACTTGGAACTTGGGCAAGCTTACTTAACTATACGATTCTAGACTTCATCATTTTCAAAATGGGCCCAATAGCTCTAATTTTTACTGTTATTATTAAGATAAAATAAGACAATCTCAAAAGCCACATTTTAGTGTAGTGTCTGGCACATAATAAGCATATAATTGTTTACATACTTATTTTTATTAAATTATATTTTATATCTTCAACATTATTACTAGAAGTCAAACCACGGAGTGAAAAAGAGAATCAAAAAAGGCAGATGCATAAAAACTAAGGGCACCCCTGGGCATACACAAACACACAGACTTCATTCCACTCTTAAATTAGGGCTACAGGTCCTTGTCAGATATTTGATTTTTTTAAAATATATATCACTTACAATGGCCATTCTTAACTCAACTATATAATTGTCCACTTATTCTAATCTTTTGAGTCCCATTGATGGAGCAAATACAAGTCCCATTGGAGAGCATGACCTGGGCTTATAGTTGGGAGTTTCTCAAGAAAGAAAAGTCTAGTACTTAGTTCCTGGCTTCTGGAAAATGAAACACAGAGTTTTTCATTCCCTCCGCATTTCTCTCCAAATCTGAGTCCAAACCACATCCCTTGGAACAGCCAGGACTCACCTAATCTTCAGTAGAGCCAAATAGAGAGAAGAAAGATTGTTCTGACCAGCACACAGAGGATCTACAAGAGGGGCAGAGCCACAAACAAAGAAATAACTGAACGGGAGAGGAAGGGACTAATCGGTAGGTGATTCCATGCTCATTTATTTTTTCTGGTAACTGCTCAATGTGGGGAAGAGGTAGATAGTAAGGGCTTGAGGGACCCTGACTCTCAAGGGAAGAGTATAAAGAAGCTTATTTTAACCCTGCCCATGATTGAGCATTAACATTGCCTCAGGGTACATTTTTTGTTTTGTATTTGTATGTGAGGTGATGTGCCAGTGGGTGTGTAGTTGTGTATTTATGTGTGCCTATCACATCACTAGGTTTTGAGCCCATGCTCTGATTTACTAGTTAAAAGATTTTGGACAAGTTTTCTATAAAAACTAGAGGCCCAGTGCATGAAAATTCATGGACTGGAGTGGGGAGGGGTCCCTCAGCCCAGCCTGCCCCCTCTCACAGCTTGGGAGCCCTCAGGGGTGGGAGGTGACCTGGAAATCAGGGGAAAGCAACACACTATCACACCTCTGCTGCTTCCACTGCCTGCAATGCAAGCCTTGGTCGGCCCTGGTTACCTCAGGTGGCCCTGGAGCAGCTGGGCCTGTCTGGGAGCAGACTCAGCCTTGCCACACACCTGCCACTCTGGTGGGGCTGATGGGGTTGGGTGCCACCATCTTGTGGCTGTGAGTGATGTAATATTTGAGGGTGGGCAGTCAATTAGCATATTCCCTCATTATTGACTGTGGCTGCAGCCATCTTTGTGATAGCATGAGGGTCAATTAGCATATTCCCTCTTTTTTAAATAGGATGTGAACATCTAATTCTTGCCCATCAAGGTTATATAAGGATTGACAGATTAAATAGGACAGAACATGTGAAAATCGTTAAAATTATTAAATGTCCCATTTCAAGATAATCTATAGATGGGATATAAAACAAACCCATATTAGTCTAATACTGTTTTTCAGAGTGAGGTCCCAGGTTTCACACTAATAAGCTCTACAGTGGAGTTTTGCACTGTTTATGTTTCCCTAGAAAACCAGTGTATATGTGTATGTAAGCATAAAGCATATGCAGCTCAGCCTCCAGCCCACACTTAGGGTTTAATGAGGAAAGTGGTTCAAATGTGTTTTTGATCAATACTCAGGTGACCCCTAGTGGAAAAATATAAAATTTGTGCATATTCTAAATTTCAGGTCAAGATAAAAGCAAATAAGCAACCTTCATAGCAAGAGTTCATTGTTTCTGAGAACATTTAATATAGTACACAAATATAAAGCTCTACATGAAATCACTTCTATAATTCTCTTAACAACCCTATGAAATAGGTAAAACATTTATATAATTTTAAAGATGTAGAAACTTGGGCAGAGAGATATTAAGTAGCTTACCAAGGATCACACAATAAGAAAATAGTAGAGCTGAGGATCAAATGCAAGGAGTCCTAGACTCCTGTGCACATAACGAAAATTCTCTATACAGTATGTGGCACATGGCATGTACATGATATCTTATAGCAAGTGATATGAAGGAAACATAGAAAATTGACTACATGAAACAAATGAGCATCATAAAATCAAGCACCTCACTTAGGATACAACTATATATTGTTTGAACTTCCTAGCACTGAAGTCTTATAAAATAAAATCTGATTATATGTTGCTCACATGGGAAAGATCTAAAACAGACAGACAAGTGTATTTCAGACAATTTTAAATATAAAGGTGGGATGTAAAACCAACTCATAGACACAGACAACAGTACAATGGTTACCAGAAGGAAAGGGATGGGGAATATTAAAGGGTAAAGCATCATATATGATGACAGAAGATGACTTGACTTTGGGTGGTGGGTACATAGTACAATATACAGATCATGTATCATAAAAAAATACACTTCAAAAGTATATCATCTGATTAATATTATCCCAATTAGTTTAATAAAAATAAATAAATATAAAGGAAGAAACCTAGCAAAGTAAAAATCAGAAAAGGGAAAATTAAAAATATTAAATCAAGCAAAAGATACTTTGTATTATTAAAAGAAACACACCTAATGAACATGTTGTCATATTCAGATGTCTCTTCTTGGCACTCTGATTTTAAATAAATAAGTTCATAAATAAATAAATTTTCCTCTTTTTAAAAAATATTTTTCCACAGGCCTCCTTCTAATTCTCTTGATTCTTTGAAAACATATATCTAGCTATAACAAGATTGACAAACTGTCACCCACCTATTCAAAACTTTTTCCTCAAGGAGCACAAAATCCTGAGTGATGTCATTTTGTTACTGAAAGTCAGCCATCTAATTCCAGGGCCATATCTTGAAGGCACTGTAACCCAAAATTGGCTAACCTCATAACTCACACAGTTAGACATTTTACTTTGGATTTATCCAATTGTATGGTTCAACTATTTCTAATTTATTCTTCAACAACCTCGAGCTCCCTAGGGAAGTGAATTTTCCATTATTCATTCCGTGCTCAGGTGTCTTTGCATTCCTCTTTATCTAAGTTAAAGATAATTCATCTTTTCCACTCTTCCTTAATATATACTTGTTTTACCAACTTCCTACCCTATATGTGAGATAAAACTCAGTTCCTAGATTAATCAACCTAATGTCCCACAGCTAATGAGTGGAAGAGCACCCTGGTCATGAACTATTCAACTTAGTTTTAAACATTTCCGTGAGCAACTCCCACTTCATTAATATCTACATGGATTGAGCACATCAATCACTATCTCCTGGCACTAATATTATCCCATGATGTTCCAGGTTCCTCAGCATCTCATGGGTTTTCTCTCCTACCCAACATCCTAGGGAATTTGGCTCCAATCTTTTCTTGGGGAGTGAAGTGCAGAAAGGACATGTGAGCTGCAGTATCACATATCCCATTCTAATCTGGTCTCTTCCACTAATTAGCTGTGAGACTTTGGGACACACCTCACAAGTTTACAAATTTCTTTAACTCCCTGGAGGAATTCTTTCTTCTATGATATTTTTGAAAATTAATTTGTATAGATATACTCTCTATGTATCTATACATATATATATATATATATATATATATATATATTTACATGTGTGTATATATATATATATTGTGTGTTTGTTTGTATAAATATAAGTGTGCATGTACATACCTTTCGCAGGATGAGTACTTTTCTTTTAATTCTACTGAAACAAGTTATTACCCCTCTATATCTTGACTTGGGTTCCGTGTAGTAGCTGCCTTAATTTATGTGTGCTTCTCCCAGAAAAGTTCCTTTACTATCCTGGGTGAGTCTATTCCTCATCAAAATTTCAAACAAATTTTAAAAGTAAAGAAAATAAAAGGGCGTTGTACAGTATATAGAATGTAATACTCATATCTATCTTTTCAGCACAAGGACAAACTCTGAACACCAAAAGACTGTCCCTAATAGGAATGGCTGTCCCTATACATGGCTCCCTCTGTTGGACAGATCTTGGGAACTCATATATTTGCTTTTTTTTCTGACTTATTTCCAGTAAAGGGCCTTAAAACAGTCCCAGCCTCGATGTAAAAAGATCTGTGACACAAGCCTGGGACTGGAGTAATCTTGACATCAGAGTCTGGGAACTTGACAAATTAGCTTCAGTAGAATCATTTTCTCTTCCTCTGAAGGGCACACATCCATTATACAGGACACTGACACCGCTCATACTTTTTTGAGATCATGAGAGCACACATTTATTACATTGTTGCAGAACCCTTAAGTAGGTGCTTTACATTGAGTGACAGTTTCACAAAAAATATCTTTAAGAGTTAGATGCAATTTATAAACCAATTTTTATTTTATAAGAAGAAACAAAAATATAATCCATCGTTACACACCTTGTAAGAGAAGAGACAGGATTTAAACTCAAACACCTGAACATAAAATGTTTACTCTGGGTACATATATTACATTTGCCCCCCCACCTCCCCCCCCCCACACACACATACACACAACCTCTCTGGACAACCTGCTGTATGTTGGGCAACAAATAGATGTACACTCAAATACCACTTAGTTGTGGGATGATTATGGATTGTCCTAAGGTCATGGTTATTATCTCTTCAAGTTAGGGTTAAAGGAAAATGTGGAAAAATAGGAGGGTAGAGAAATTATACTTTTCTGTTGATAGGAGGATTTACATACCTTTTGCTAATAATATAGAAAAGGGTGAGTAAATAAGCTTCTCTTCTAACCTCAGAATTAATAAATGTTCTACAGAAGGAAAACAGCAAGGAAGAGAAGTTCTGAATGGAGCAGTGAGCTCAGATGCAGGAGATGAGCCCAAGACAAGGGTCACTACACAGAATTGGGTGAGGGAAGGAGAGTATGTTCAGGAGCTCGGTGGGCACAGAGTAATGGGAACTGGGCAATTCCAAGGATTGAAATAGGGATAAACAGTCTGAGAAAAGTGACATTTAGAGAATTTGTAGATAAGTGACCCATGATTTGTGACATTAAAAAACGTGACAGTGCTTGCTTCCTGGTCTAGGAAAATGCCAACTCGATGAGGAGGAACAGCGATGAAAAGAGTCAAGATATTGGGATCAGTGGTGGAAGAGTCCTCAAAGGCATTGTACTCAGATTGATTCTGTAACCCTACAACCCAGTAGCCATTTTCAGGTCTGAATCTGGAGTAAGCATTTGAATAATTTGGTTTTGGGGTAAAAACAAACCCAGAGCTTTTATTTCTATTGAGATTGCTTGTTTTACTGTATACCCCCAGAATCCAGGCAACTTTCCCAGACACATCAACTTCCCAGTAATATTTCCCTGAAGAGAAATTTTGACTGCTCTGTACATCAAAAGCAAAAAAGTTACGTGGGTATACATTCCGAAACATAAAATCACTCCCAATAGTCACTTGTCTGTGATCCTCAGAAACGACAACATTCGATAGATCATTGAATGGATTCAGCGTCAAGTCCACTGTAGAAAAAAATTACATAGTCAGGTGAATTAAATATGGCATGTATCTTGTGACATTTTGAGAAGGAATTTGGGAATTGACTGCGAAGAACATGAGTTAATGGGTCAGGAAGGAGTAGATCAGTTAAGAACTGCTGTATGTCTATCTGTTTGGGTAGAACACAAGTAACTGAGACCATGGGACCTAAGATTAAGCACAACTTCTGAAAAGGGATCAGAACATGAAGATTTGAAGAACCTGTAATTTCTTACCCCAGTGGCTTTGGGCTTCCGCCAGCTCTGAAATGACAAAAGTATCAATGTTGTTGTTAGAAGCAAAGGAGGAACCTCTGACACCTATCCTCGCTCTTGAGTGGGAGGGAAAGCCTCTTGAGGTTGTCAACTGGTGAAGGAGGACACCTGGCCATTCCCACTTGGATGTGTTCACAACTTCAGCACAGGGTATCTATGTCTTCTTGTGAGGCCTACCTCCTCCCTTTTGTCCTCATATAGAAATAGCATCCATTTCTCCATGTGCTCTGGTACTTTAAGAATCTCATACACCCTTTGGCTTTCCTCACCTTTAAACGCTTTCAGCATCCCATTCAGATCTGGAAATCGGAATGTACTCAGTTTCTTGGAAACAATTTTTGGCTTCTTCAAGGTCCAGACCTCGCTCCTAAATAAGACAAAATTGATCCCTCACACTTCTTACCTTTTGTCTCCCAAAACCATTGTCTCTCTTATCTTTCATTCTATAATATTGATGCCTTATCACTTGAGTCATCTTCCATGAAGAGCCTGAGGGGGGCACGGGTGAGAGCCCTGACACTGCAACCAGAAGGAATGTCTTCATGTCTAACTTTCTATCTTCCCTCTGTGTGACCTTGGAAAGAACTTCTCATGAAGCTCATGTTCGTCCTTCCAAAATGAAAAAGAAAAAAAATTAACTCCATACTTTCTACCTCTTAAAATAATACACTATTAGATGTAATGGAGGTACCTTTAAAAGTTGTCTGGTGTCTCTAATAAAAAGCATTTCACATATGAAAGAGTTACTGCCATCTCAGTGGTTCCTCCAGGAAGAGGAAGGTCCCTATGCAGATGCTTAGTGGAGAGGCTCTAGAACTTGGCTAATGAGAGCTTTATTAGCAAGTGTGGAGCTTCTGTATTGAAAGTCTGACGTGTTTTCTAAGTCTATTAACCCAATACAGATGCTGAGCATAAAATAGAATGTCACTTTCTCTGGGGAGTCATTACAAATATTTGAAATAGGAGAACTTCATATATTAAAATTAATAGTGGTCTGAATTTCACGTGCTTGATGCTGCCAAGTATGTGTTCAACTTTAGACAAGTAAAGCCACTTCCCTACAAGTTGCTAATATGTGTAAACAAAAAGAGATTTATTATTGACAACAGGACTAAAAGCCATTATTCCCCGAGACTTGAATCTTCCTCTTCCTTCCTTCCTTCCTTCCTCTCTTTCTTTTTTTCTTTCTTTCTTTCTCTCTCTCTCTCTCTTTCTTTCTTTTTTCTTTCTTTCTTCCTTTCTTTCTTTCTTTCATCTTCCTTTATTTCACCTATTTTTTTTTAATCTTTCTTTTTATTTATTCTTCCTAAACAAGACTCTTTAATATTTCAAGTAGTACTACAATAGTTTGGTGATGATGAATGCATTTAGCTTTTTCTTATTTGGGAAGCACTTTACCTGACCTTTAACTCTAAATAATAACCTTGCTAGGTAGACTAATCTTGTCTGTAGGTCCTCAGTTTCCATCACTTTGAATATTTCATGGCACTTCCTTCTGGTTGGCAAAGTTTCTATTGAGAAATCAGCTGAAAGACTTAATGGGAATCCTCTTGTAGGTAAGTAACTACTTTTCTCTTGTTGCTTTTTAGATTCTTGTTTTGTCTTTAATCTATAACATTTTTAGAAATGTAATATACAATATTTTTTATTATTGACAGTATTACAGATGTCCCCCATTTTATACACTTTACCCCCGCTCTATCCATTGCAGGCCTCCCCCACACTATTGTATGTGTCCATGGGCTATGCATATAAGTATGTAAGTTATTTGGTTTATCTCTTCTTCTCATCCCCCACCTTCCAAGAGATGTCAATGTGGTCCAAGTCTCCATGCCTTGGTTCTTATTTTGATGGTCAATTCATTTTGTTCCTTAGCACTCACAAATAAGTGAAATCATGTGATATCTGTTTTGCTCTTATTAGCTTATTTCACTTAGCGTAATAGTTTCCAGGTAGCATTTTAATTAAGATGTGTGTTTGTGTAGGCCTCTTATTTGGGACTCTTATTTCTAATGCTTCTATTATCCCTAACTCTGTGACTTCCCACCACCCAAATTCCATACCATTACACAGTGTCACCGGTCATCAGCAGGTGAAATAATGTAATAACCAAGTTTTCCATATCTATGATTGTTTAAAATTATGATTTATTCAAGATTACTCATAGTTATAATTCTGTCATCACACAAAAAGGACCATGCCTGGTCTCACACACACACATACCTTCTTATGACGTTAATTATGTCCTGGGGAGAAGAAAAAAAACACACATATAAATCAAGAGTAAAGTTGACAGATTTAGAAAATTAAAATGGCTAGTTAAAATTTAATTTTGAAAATATCACAAATATGTTTTAGTATAAACATGGGCTCTATAATATTTAAGATACTCTTCTGCTAAAAAATAATGTGTTATCTGCAATTCAAATTTAACTATGCATCCCTTATTTTGTCTGGGAACCCTTAAAGGAGTGATAAGCCCTCCTACCTATAAAGTTTTACTCACTTTCTTCCTCATACTCCTAGTACCTTTAATATAGCTTGAATAAATAGATAGTCAGAATAAATAGGGGGGGGGGGGATGGGGGGACTTATAGAGATAAGACCCAAATCAACCATCCTCGAGGACTCGTGAGGATGTTAGAAAGGTGTTTCTAAGATCTGGAGATGGAATATATTTAAAAGGCAGAGAGGGGAGCAGAGGAAGCCAGGAGTGCAGGCACACAAACACCAAGACTGACCTAGACACCATTCCAGACGTGTGCAGGGGGCCACTTGCCAGCTGTAATCCATGTGGGACCACCACTGAGCCCTGGAAATGAGTGGTGCAGTACCATCATGCGGACTTCCAGATGTCTGCAGTGAATGCTCACCACAGAGACCTCCTACACTGTGAGGCAAGCAGGGGAACTCTGTGCCCCAGCCCCATTCAGGCCTCAGGTCTTCACTGTTTTAACCCAGAGCCACCAGCTGTGTGTCCCTCCTGGGCCCCCAGGACCATGCTGCTGGTGTGACATGGAGACACCTGGCATGCTCAGCCTCGAGTCACAGGACCACCTTGCCAGAGTGAGCTGAAGCAACCTGGCACTCAGACCAGGCCTTAGGACAACACTGCAAGTGAGCTGCTGCAGAGAGACTAGGGCACCATGCTGCCACTGTTGCTAGGTCTGTACATGTCAGAGGGATCTGGGTCCTCACAGGGAGTCGCACACAAGAGGAACTGTGCACACACCCCTGCCCACCCTGAGCACCTGCAGCAGACATCAGAGGGTCCACATCCATGAGAGAATGGAGTACAACTCAGAGCAAAGACAATAAAGATGTAAGACTCATGGCAAGTCCGGCCTCTGAGCTAAGAAATCCACGACCATCGGACCACTAGGGGCTTCAACCTCTCAGACCCAAGCAGGGTGCTCAGGGGCAGAAAGAGTAAGAAAAAATGGGGAAGCAAAGAAACAATCCACCAAAGGAAAGAAAAAGAGGAATCAACGGAAAAAGAAATAAATACAATGGAGGCCAATAATATGTCATGGAAAGAATTCAGGTTAATGATTATAAGGATATTCAATTGTCTACATGAAAAATTCATCAACATTTGTAAGAATCAAGAAGAAATGAAGAATGACATATCTGCAATAAAGAACACCATGAAAAGCTTCAACAGTAGACTTGCAGAAGTAGAGGACTGAAACAGAGAGTTAGATGACAAGATTAATAAAAACACCCAATCTGAACAGCAATTGGGGAAAAAATTAAAAAGTGGGAGAGATAAAGGGAGCTTTGGGGCAGCATGAAACAAAAAAACAAACAAACAAATCTGCATAATAAGGGTGTCAGAAGGATAAGAATCAGAACAAACCTATTGGAAGGAACAATGACAGAAAATTTCCTTGACTTGTGGAAGAAAAAAGTCACATAAGCACAGAGTTCCAAACAAGATGAACCCCAAAAGACCCACACCAAGACACATTGTAATTATAATGGCAAATGTTAACAATAAAGAAACATCGTAAGGGCTGCAAGAGAAAGTTACCTACAAGGAATCTCCCACTAGACTATCAAATGATTTCTCAACAGAAACACACCATGCCAGAAGGGAATGGAATGAAATATACAAAATGATGCAAAACAAGGGACTGAATCCAAGAATACTCTATCCAGCAAGGCTATTAGTCAAAATTGAAGGTGAAATCAGGACCTTCACAGGCAAGAAAAGGCTAAGGGAGTTTATTACCACCAAGCCAGCAATGCAAGAAATGTTAAAGAGATGGTCGTAAAAATATGAAATATAAAGGGAATAAGAAACACAGGCATAAAGAATTTTTAAAAAGGCAACAAACCAATAGCTATCAATAATAACCTTAAAAGTAAATATATGAAATGCCCCAATTAAAAGACATGGGGTAACTTAATGTATAAGAAAATATGACCCATATTTATGCTATCTACAAGAGACCCACCACAGAATAAAGGACTCACACAGACAGAAAGTGAAGTGATGGGAAAAATATTTCAGGCAAATGGAAAAGAAAAGAAAAAAATCTGGGGTAGCAATTCTTATATCTGACAAAATAAATCTCAAAGTGGAAACCATAATAACAAATAAGGAAGGCCATTTTATAATACTAAAGAGATCAATTCAACAAGATGATATAATTCTGTTAAATATATATGTACCTAATACAGGAGCACCCAAATACATAAAAATATTTCTAGAAGATATCAAGAAGGAGAATGATAGCAATACAAAATAGTAGGGGATTTGAATACCACATTTACATCACTGGATAAATCTTCTAGACAAAAATCAATAAAGAAACAGCAATCCTAAACAACTCACTAGAGCAGATGGAACTAATTGACATCTTCAAAACATTTCACCACAAAGCCATGTAATATATATTCTTCTCAAGTGCACGTGGGTGATTTTCAAAGATAAATCACATATTAAGACAGTCTCTAAAAATTCAAGGAGACTGAAATCATATCAATCATCTTCTTAGATCACAATGTCATAAAATTAAAAATAGACTACAGTAAAAATAATAAAAAACAATCAAACTCTTGGAACCTAAATAGCATTCTATTAAACAATGGTTGGTTACCAAAGAGATCAAAGAATAAATAAAAAACATTTTGAAAAATAAATGATAATGAAAACACAACAGTCCAAAATCTATCAGACACAGTGAAAACAATCTTGAAAGGGAATTTCATAGCACTACAGGTTTACCTCTAAAAATAAGAAAAGCGGGTGACAAATTATCTAACCCTACAACTTAATGAATTACAAAGAGAGCAACAAGAAAATCCCAGAATAAGTAGAAGAAAGGAAATAATAAAGATTAGAGCAGAAATAAATTATGAAGAGACAAAAAAAAAAAAAAAAAAAACGATGAATAGAACCAAGAGCTGGTTCTTTGAAAGGATAAACAGGATTGATGTACCTTTAGCCAGGCTCATCAAGAAGCAAAGAGAGAGGACCCACATAAACAAAATAAGAAATGAAAGAGGTGATGTAACAATTGACTTCACAGAAATACAAAGGATTGTAAAAAAAATAATAAATAAATAAATACTCTGAACAACTCTATTCCAACAATTGGGCAACCTAAGTGAAATGGATGTATTCCTAGAAAAACAAAATCTTCCCAAATGCTATCAGGAAGAATAAGAAAAACCTGAATAGACCAATAACTACTGATCAAATTGAAGCAGTAATCAACAAATTTCCAGCAACAAAAGCCCTGATCTGGATGGCTTTACAGGGGTGTTTTACCAAACATTCAAACAAGAGCTAGCACCTACAGACTATTATAAAAAATTGAAGAGGAAGGAATACTTCCAAGTTCTTTCTCTAAAGGCAGGAATTACCCTAATTCCAAAACCAGAAAAGTACACTACAAAAAAAGAGAATTACTGGCCAATATCTGTGATGAGCATAGATGATAAAATCTTCAACAAATATTAGAAAATTACAGCCAGCAATACATTAAAAAGATCATATCCCATGACCAATTGGGATTTATCCCAGTGATGCAAGGCTGGAACAATAATTGCAAATCAATAAACATGATACATCACATAAACAAATTGAAAGACAAAAACCACATGATTATTACCAACTGATACATAAAAAGCATTTGACAAAATCCAAAACCTTTTCTTGATACAAAAAACCCTCATCAAAATGGGAATAGAAGGATCATACCTCAACATAATAAAAGCCGTATATGATGCAACATACTCAATGGACATAAACTAAAACCATTTCCCCTAAGAAGAGGAGCAAGACAGGGATGCCCACTCTCACCACTCCTGTTTGATATAGTACTGGAAGTGCTAGCTATAGTGATCAGGCAAGAAGAAGACATAAAAGGCATCTGAATTAGAAAAGAACTGAAATTGTCATTATTTGCTAATGACATGATATTGTACATAGAAAACCCTAAAGATTCCATAAAAAAAAAACTACTAAATTTAATAAATGAATTTGGCAGTGTAGCAGGATACAAAATTAACACCCAGAAATCTATGGCATTTTTATATACCAATAATGAACTCACAGAAAAAAAAACTAAAAAACAATCCAATTTACCATTGGGGAAAAAAATAAGATGCCTAGGAATAAACATAATTAAGGAGGTAAAGACCTGTACTCAGAATACAGGATGTTGAAAAAAGAGATAGAGGAAGACATAAAAAAGTGGAAGAATTCACTGTGTTCAGCATCATTGAAATGTCCATACCACCCAAAGCAATCTTATTGTAAATTCAATGCAATCCCCATTAAAATACCAACAGCATAGAACAAACTCTCCAGAAATTTATATAGAATTAAAAACAAAACAAAACAAATAGCTACAGTGATCCTGAGAAAAAAAGAACAAAGTTGGAAGGATCACAATACCAGACATCAAGTTATATTACAAAGCCATTGTTTTCAAAACAGCCTGGTCCAGGAGCAAGAGCAGACATATAGACCAATGGAATAGAATGGAGAACCGAGAAATTGGCCCAAACCAATATGCTCAATTAATATTTGAGAAAGGAGGCAAAAGCATACAATGGAGTCAAGGCAGTCTCTTCAATAAATGGTGTTGGGAAAATTGGACAGACAAATGCAAAAAAACAAAAATGGAACTTGACCACCAATTTACACCATATATAAAACAAAACAAACAAACAAACAAAAAAACTCAAAGTGGATAAATGACTTAAATGTAAGATGGGAAACCATAAAAATCTTAGAAGAATCCAGAGACGGCAAAATATCAGACATATCTCATAGAAATTTGTTTACTACTACATCTCCTAAGACAATGAAAACTAAGAAGAAAATACATTGGATTACCTCAAAATAAAATGCTTCTGCACAGCAAAAGAAACTATCAACAAAATAACAAGAGAGTCCATTGCATGGGAGAACATTTTTGCTAATGTTTGGGTTAAGTTGGGGGGGGGGGGGGCGGGGGCGGGGAGATTAACTAAGGAACTTGTGATAAGGGTTTAAGGGTTTAATCCCTAAAATTTATAGGGAAGTCATACAATTTAACAAAAGAAAGATAAACAATACAATTTTTAAAAATAGGCAAAGGACCTAAATTGATACTTCTTGAAAGTCAATATACAGAAGGTCAAAGACATGAAAAAAAAATCACTAATCAAAACAACAATGAAATATCACCTCACACCAGTCAGAATGACTATCAACAAATCAACAAATCAACAAATGACAAGTGCTGGGGAGGATGAGGAGAATAGGGAACCAACCCTCCGGCACTGCTGGTGGGAAAGCAGACTGGTCCAGCCTTTGCTGAAAACAGTATGGAGTTTTCTCAAAAAATTGAAAATGGAACTCTCATTTGACCCAGTGCTAGGAACATATCCCAAGAAATCAGAAACACCAGTCAGAAAGAATATATGCACCCCGATGTTCATAGTTGTGTAATTTACAAAAGCTAAGATTTGGAAACAGCCTAAGTGCCTATCAGCAGATGAGTAGATTAAAAAGCTGTGGTACTTTTACACAATGAAATACTACACTGCTATAAAAAAGAAAGAACTCTTACTACTTGCAACAGCATGGATGGACCTGGAGAGCATTATGCTAAGTGAAATAAGCCAGTCAGAGAAAAATAAGTATCACACGATTTCACTCATTTGTGGAATATAATGTACAACCTAAACTGATGAATAAAAATAGATCCAGAGACATAGAATCATTGAACAGGCTGTCGTGCCTCAGAGAGAAGGTAGGGGAGAGTGGGCGGGAATTGCGGGGGGAGGGGAGAGAGGAAGGGAAGAAGGAGGGCGGGGGGAGATTAACTAAAGAACTTGTTTGCATATAATCATAACCAATAATCAATAGACATAGACAGTGGGGTGTGAAGGCATGGACTGGCAGGGTCAGGGAAGGCTGGGAGAGACAATGGGGAAAAGGGGGACATATGTAATAATTTCAACAATAAAGAATTAAATTAAGAAATAAAAATAAAAATCATAAAGGAGGCCTACTATTTCTTTTAAAATATTCATGAGAGCACCTCTTAATTCATTATGATTTCATGTAGTTGAGTGACAAAAGGGAAATCTATTTTGTAGACATAATTCCACGCTCTACAGAATAAAATATGAATACTTAATAATTACATTTTTTAGAATGGATATTTTATTTTGCTTTAGGGGCAAGCAAACTAGCACATCAAGAAAATGTTTTTCTCCAGCCTTCCTCTACTCACTCTATGTACATTCATCAATGTATAAGTGTGAAATAAGCCACAGAAACCAGCAGCAGAGAAAGTCTAAAATGTAATTGACTGTTTCCCAGATATTTACATTCCATTTTCCAGAATGGTATTAATATCCACTTCATCACTGTCTTAAAAAGTATACCTTACCCTGAATTCCAATATTGTATTAAGCCAACCCAGTCCATATGCTAAGCTTCTTTTAGCCATCTTCTCTTCCCTGTCATAATATTATTTGCCTTATTTCTTTAAACATGAATTCACCAACAATTTGGTTTCCCGCTTTAGTCTAAACTCTTTCATATAAGCAAATCCCTGGCCTCTAGTTGGCTATACTCCCTCAAAAATTTTTTTTACTCTCTATATTATGTTTTTTATTGTTATTGTATATAACAAAAGCCTAGCTAAAACTAGCTTAAATTTAAAAGGAAAAAAGAGAAACTCAGGGGGGCAAGCAGAACTTTTGCATTAGCTAGATTTCTAAGAAAAATCTTCTCAGGACCAGTTCTTTCTTCTCAAAATTCTATTTTCTACTTGCTTATATGAACTTTCTTTTCATTCTCTATATGGTATCAAGTTCAGCATCCTGGTTTAAATAATAATCTTTAATATATCACATAGTGGAAAAGAGAATTTTTCTTTCTAGTCATAACAATAACCTTCTAAGACATACAAATCATTGCCCTGAATAGGTCAGGTGCATATCTTAAAATAATCACTGCATCTTTGGTAAACCTATAGAAATTAAATATGCTGATGTACCTAGAACTGAGAAACATATACATCCCTGATGCTATTAATAGTGGTTTTATCAATTCTAACCAATTACATGAACTGAAATTACTCAATAAGTAATTCAAAAGGTGGTTATACCCCCCCCCCAAAAAAAAACAAAACAAAAAACTGTCCAATGGGGTCTGCCCTGTGGTTTGTTGTGGATGAGTAGCATCTTTGGCCTCTATCCACTAGATGGCAGTAGAATTTTCATGATCCCTGGGGCAGAGGTGCTTCAATCTTAAGAGATATTCCGACTTAAAATAGAATTGTTTTTGAAATAGAATTGAATTGCTTTTATGGGGGGGGGGGGTTGTTTTGAAATTAAATTTAATAGAATTGTTTCACTAATCCAAAAATATAATAGAGCAAAATTATTTTTGACAAAGATGCCACAATAATTCCGTGGAAGAAGGGAAAGATTTTTTTCAAAAGTGTTGAACTTGTTTGGACACAGTTTAACAATTCAATATATTTACTAAAAATATTTGAGTTGTATATTTACAAAGGGTATATTTTTAATGCAATTTGTACTTCAAAAATGTTTTTTTGAGGAATAAGTAAAGACCCAGCAGATGGAAATTGGTTACTTCGCTATTGAAACCAAAGTTAAGAAATTCCTGTTCAACTAGCAAAAAAGAATGGCAAGAAGTCAAGCAGAGAAAATTTGAAATTTCCTCAGCTTCCCAATATGTTTCCTAGCTTAAGATTAGGCATGCAGCTAATTCCATGGAAAAGAATAACTTAGGTACAATTTCTTTATCAAAATGCTATATTTATCCCATCTTTCTCTAGCCAACACACACACACACACACACACACACACACACACACACACAAATGCACATGCACAAGCACATACACATGGTCATATATTCTCATCCCTCACACAGGTATCACATTTGCTACCACTTAACAAAATAACAAAACCTAACATAGAGATATGAGTTGCTTGAGTAAGCTGAGCGAAGAAATGCCTTACAAATGCTAGATGATAATAGAATATAACAAGAAATCCTCTCTCAAATTTTTGCATGGCACTTTATAAAATAATAATGTGTTTCCCTTGTCATTTGTACATTGAATTTTCCTAATGACCCATAAAATGAATGACAGAGAAGGAGCATTTAAGGGTCAAAGGAACTTTTCAATGAGGAAGAAAGTGCAGGGACCCAGAGGGAAAAGAAGCATAATCTCTATGATTCCCCCAAATCTCATATGTAGAATCTCCATCCTAAGTCTTACCTGCAGCGTGTCCACTGATGCTTCACACATATGACGTTGGAGATCTGAGATGAGCTCTCTCATGTACTGGCTCTGCTGAGCCATCTGGTCTTTAGCCACTGCCAAGTTATCCAGCACATGCACTTCGTTGTCATCCAGCTTTTGCAGCTCCCTTTTCTCTTCTCTGTCCAGGATGCCTCTCATTTCTTCGAACCCCTTTAGAATCCTCTCTCTTTCAGTCTGCATACAATTCTTTAAGGATGAGAATAAAAAGAGGCAGTCAGAAAGTCTAGCTGAGGACCTACTTTTTATGCGCCTTGGAAAGCCAATGCAATAATCTCCTCAGGCACTTACAAGGAAAAACGAAGGGAGCCATTTCAGGAAAAGGCATTTTTCCTACTGTTTTCCTTGAGCTGTTCCCAAAGCAATTCATTCAAGTCTACTTTCTCATGGCCCACCAGGAAATACATGTGCTACCTGGATGAGGCTTGGATAATTATGCCACACTTTATATGGAACTCCTCCACCCATATCTCCAAAAATAGGGAATCCTTGGCCTTCCTTAACATTTCTTCTGGCAGTATCAGAACCACAAACTTGATTATAGAAATGGGACATGGATGCGTGAATCACTTTTACATCGGTTCTCTCTTTCTTTGCCTCCAAATAGTCGTTTTCATTTGGGAGTGTCTACTCTGTAATTCCCAACCCTCAATAGGAAAGGAATTGAATGAGGACTAAGCACAAGTCTTCTGGACTCACTAATTCTGAGGTAACAAGGAGGAAAGGGCCCCTTGTGATTGGATAAGGTGCTGCCCATTTTGATGTTTCAGAACTGCCTCAGGAATAATGTGTTTTTACCTTCCAGGTATCTCTCTCTTCATTGATGACACCTTCCAACTTCTCAGCTTCCTGCTGCTCCTGTGTCAGCCTGTACACAGCCACCTGGAATTTCTCCTGTGAAAAAGGAACCACCAAAGTCAAACGATGAGCTTTCTAAGCACCTGGATAGAGGATAAATGGAAAAATCAGGGTCATCTTAGAAGAGACTAGAATTTCAGAACTGAAGCTAGGCAACAGGACTGAGAAGGCAGACAGAAATCTCAGGAAGTATGTGTGTCCTTTATCCCAGGATGATGCAAGTTTCCATCTCTGTATCAAGTAGTTCAGATTTCTCTTTTCCTAGAGAAAGAACTGATCCTGCAGCAAGCAAAGTCCTTTCTCCTCAAGAACACTCTTCCCAGATCTAACCATGTTCCCAAAAATCCCATCTGTTCACGGGGCAACCAGAACTTATCTTGAGAAGTAACTCACTCATAGAACTTCTCTTTGACGTGCATATTATTGAAGAAAATGAATGAATGCACAACCATATCCCTCAGGCCTCAGAAGCTGAACCAAAGATATCAAAGAGAAAGCAGCACTCAGTTCTATGATGACAAGGGAAAGAAATAGGATTAAGCAGTAAAGATTTCACTTCAAGTGATATTCTGCCCAGTGTTTTTACACCCTGGGGCCTACCTGACATTCCTTGACCACCTCCTCCACGCTATATATTTGGTGGCCTTGGTGCTGCTCCTGGACACAAAAGCTGCAAATGGCCTTCCCATCCTCCTTACAGAAGAGATGGCAATTTTCCCCATGGTGCTCACAGAGATCTCTCCTCTGCTGCTGGTGGGATGACATGTTGGCTTCTCTGATTTTCTTCACTCTGTCGGTCAACTGCTGATTAGGCAGGAGGTTCCAAGGGTCATATGGGCTCTGGCACACAGGACAGCGGCATTGCCCTCCAAAGAAGCTCTCTGACTCATTGGCAGAGATGCAGGCTTGGCAGAAGTTGTGGCCACAGTTCAGACTCAGGGGCTCTGTCAGTAGCTGATGGCAGATGCGGCAGATCACCTCCTCGTGTATGCTCCCCTGTGATGAAAAATCCATTGCTGTGCTCCTCTAGCTGCTTCCTGTCCTGACTCCAGAGGCTCTTGCTCACAGACTACTGCAAGGCTGGGAATATTAAAGAGGGCAGGATAAGAAAGACAGGAATAGAAAGGATACTGGTTGGGCAGACATTTAGAGCAGCACAAAACTTTAATATTCAGTAAAAAAAGGAAAAGAGACGAAGAAGAAGAGTAGTCAGTGACAAAATGAAGAAGTCCCTTTGTAATAATTTCAAACACTTTATCTTAGTTTATGTCACATGACAAATTTCACCCTGTCAAGGCAATACTTGGCTGTTTTCTCTTCTTCTACTGGATGGAGGTCAACTTGAGGCCCTTCCTACCAAGAGCTTTATGTTACGCATCCATTAGTCTCGTCTATTATTTCTCACCTGCAAACACATCCAACAGGTTAGATACACTAACCCAGTTGTCAGCAAACTGCGGCTCTCGAGCCACATGTGACTCTTTGGCCCTTTGAGAGTGGCTCTTCCACAAAAATACCATGGCTTGGGTGAGTCTAGTTTGAAGAAGTAGCATTAGAAGTTTAAATTTTAAAAAAATTTGGCTCTCAAAAGAAATTACAATCGTTGTACTATTGATAATTGGCTCTGTTGACTAATGAGTTCGCCAACCACTGCACTAACCCCACTGCAGCCCTCTGGCCTTTTACACTTGCATGACTTACTATATTTGAACAGTTTTATTGAGTTATATTTACATTGATGCATTTATTTTAAGAGTACAAAAGTTTCTAATACATTTATTAAACAGAATAACTATCACCACAATCTAATTTTAGAACATTTCTATTGCTTGGAAACAAGCTTAATGCCATTAGCAGTCACTCCCATTCTGACCCCGAGCCTTAATGTCTTTACAAAATTTCTTTTTCTGATTAATTCTTAACAGCAAAAAATATAATATACTAGAGGCCCAGTGCATGAAATTTGTGCATGTGAGGGGGGTTTTCCTCAGCCCAACCCACGCCCTCTTATAATCCAGGACCCCTGGAGTATGGTCCCTAGGCCTGGCTGGTAATCAGGGCCTATGGGGGCTTTTCCCCCCCTGGTTGCCAGCAGCTGACCCACCCCCCCACCACTGCCACTGCTTGCCACCTGTGTGGCACTGCCCCCTCTCCCCACCACTGGTCGCCTTCCTCTGCAGGTGACAAGTGTGTGATGTGATCTCTTGGCTGGCCTGGGCCTCCTGCTGTGGAGTGATCACTGGCCAGCTCTGCACACCCACCACAGCATTGCTAGCTGGTGGCATGGGCCTTTCCTCTGTGGGCGATTGATCATGGGGCCCCCAGACTGATCACCCCACAGAGGGAGGCCACCCACCACAGTGCTGCCAGCCGGGTGACCTGGGCCCCCCTCTGTGGCCACCAGCCGGGTGGCCTTGGTCACCCTCTTTGGGGAAATCAAACGCTGAACTCCCCCATCAGTCACCCCACAGAGGCTGGCCTGGCCTCCTCCTGCTGTGCGATCCTGGGGCAAGGGCAGGGCCTCCTGACCAATGGCATTGCACCCACCTTAGTTGGCCTGGTGCCCCAGTATGTGTCATAGTGTGGTCATCCAGGAGGTCGTCTGGATGGTCATTCTGCTGTTCAGTCATTCGGTTGATTTGCATATTATGTTTTTATTATTATAGATGATCCTTTTGAGTCTGAACTCCCTCACTTCACAGGCAGTCATTGAGGTTCATCTCTCCTGCCTTTCTTTCTCATAATAAAAACGTGTTTTTGATATTAAAAGTATCAAATCCACTGCTGCCTCTCAGATTTTACACTTGCTTTTAGATCATCTCTAAATGGAATGATCTCCCTGATGTCAGCATGACTCCTTCTTACATTTTATTCTGTCTTCCACCTCACATGTCTCTTATCAGAATGGCATGCTCTAACTTATCTATTATAAACCACCAATACTATTGCTAGCTGTACCCTTGATATGTTTTTCTTGTTTTTATTACCTAACATATAACTTATTTCTTTTGTTCACTGATGTACTCAGTACCTCACACAAGAACACAATGTTTGGTGAATATATAAAACTAGAAGTTCCCCATTCCCCATCTCTCTATAGATAATTAGACATTTTCTTATCAGCTTTCATTTTTATTCCCATTAATTAGCAGTTCTCCAATTCTTGAGAAGTGTTTATCTGCTAACACTCCTGAATTGCACAGAGCCTTCCCATACCGTCAAACTCATTCCCCAAAGACACCTACAGAAACATCAAAGACATAATATTGAGGTCATTTCATCACTAACAATTTTATAACCAGTTATAATTTAGAAATCACATTGAACTATTTATTTCTTATATATGTATTTTTTATACTATTACTCCATTCTTGAATTAAAAAGTACACATTGGTAGTCACAAAATGGTCATGGAAATATAAAAATACAGCATAGAGTATATAGTCAATAATATTTTAATAACTATATATGATACAGAAGGGTATGATTAGGAAGAAAACACTTTTTAGTTTATATGATTGTCTAAACAGGGCTCCACCTCACAGGTTAGATGCTGTATACCAGAAAATAATACAAAATGATATTGAATATTAACTGTAATTGAAAAATAATAAAGAAAGAAGCCGAAATTGGTTTGGCTCAGTGGATAGAGCAACGGTCTGCAGACTGAAAGATCCTGGGTTTGATTCCAGTCAAGGGCATGTACCTTGGTTGTGGGCACATCCCCAGTAGGGGGTGTACAAGAGGCAGCTGGTCGATGATTCTCTCTCATCTATGTTTCTAACTCTCTATCCCTCTCTCTTCCTCTCTGTAAAAAATAAATAAAATATATTTATTTAAATAATAATAATAAAACAAAGAAAGAAAAAGAAATTTAAAAAATAAAAAGTACTTTTTCCTTCAGATGTGTAAATAAAATAAATGACTTACAGAGGTCAATGTCATTTTTAAAATAGGTAGAATTGCTAAGAAACATATTGCCTTCAATATTGCCATTATTGTTCTCTCCACTACTGCACAGATTTATAAAGACAAAAACAAAAATAGGGAGAGGTTGCAAGAAGTAGATTATAACCAATATTATTGGAATGCACTGAGGTAACAGTGAGATGTGGCTCTCAGTGGAGAGAAAATTCTCTGTTCTTGAACTTTCAGAGAGACAAGTGATCACATGGGAGCTACAGAGATGGGCAACAACCTGATCATCCATCCTTGTTCACCAGCCTGCCAAAGGACTGTACAGTTATCAGGAAGATTGTGCACAACTTCCCAAAAGTTACCAAGAGTAAAAGAATCAGATCATGGGAAAGGGCAGCAGATGTCATTTCTAGTCTTAAAGATGGCAAAAACAAAAACAAAACAAAACACACACACAAAAACACAAACAAAAAGTCTCTAAAGCAGCCCAAGAAGCAGGCCAAGGAGATGAAAGAGGAAGCTATGTCATTCAAGCAGAAAGAAAAAAAAGAGAGAGAGAATTAAAAAACCCAAGAAATGAGGAACTGGGAGCAAAGGCCAAGGGGAAAGGCCCCCAGGACACTTGGGTGACTAAGACATCTGGCCAGAAATGAGCTGCTTCTAATGGAATTTAGGATCAACATTGTAACTGGGACAATGTTGATCCTAAATTCCATTCCTGTTTTTACTTCTGAATTCCTTGTCACAATGTCTGTTGCCAACTACAGCTAGATGAAGCTTGTTGTCTGAAAGCTTGTTGTACTTTTAAGAAAAAGTTTTTATTAAAAAATAATAATAATGATAATTTAACAAACAAGTACGAGGACCAGTTTCAAGAGATCCTATCCTTTCCCACACGCATCTGGACAAGGGTTCTCACCCCTGCTGGCCTCACCAGGGCTTTATGAAAAGGAAAAACAAAACAAAACAAAACAAAACAAACAAACAAACAAAAAAAAAACAGAGCTCCATCTCACAGGTTTCACTGGAGAATGGGAGGAAGAGATTTTCTCTCTGGGGAGAAAAAATATTCTGGATCAATTTGGCAAGGTAGAGAGTCAAAAAATCAGAATAGGAAGAAAATGAGGGTAACTCAGCCTGGAGAAATAACAGTCCCTCCGAGAAATAAACAAGACTCTGCTCTTTTAAACCTCCCTTCTTTAAAAGTCACTCTTCCCCCAGACACAGTGTTCATTTTTTTTCTGCCAGCTCAAGCAGAGACACCCACTAGCAGAGCAGCCTCAGAACCACAATTTAAGACACCAAACACATTCAGTCTGCTCCCCCAGGAAACTGCCCCACTTACTTTCAGGAGTGGAGAAGATATAGTGTACGTCTGGTCAAGATCCACTCATCAATCCAGAAATGAGTTCTCCACCGAGGAGTGTCTCCACACAGCAGAGTGAGAAATGGAAGTTAAATTCATCGGAGTGGAAACGAAACTAAGCAGAACAAAAACTTAACAATAACAATGGGGCGCCACCCTGTGGAACTCTTGGGAAAGTTAATGCTTCAGTATGTTCTAGGACCTATTCCAGCGTGGCACTCAATCACCGTGTTTTTATCCCTTTCTCAGATTGTTCTAGCAAGAATATTTGAATAAGAAGAATGTGAAATCCAATTATACATTCCTCAGCTTGCCTGAATACTCAGAATTTCAATTCATTTCTACACCTACTAGTTAAATGTATCCTATAGTCATGTACTAAACTACTTACTATGGATAAAATCATCATCCACAAAGTCTGGGTACCTGCACTTTGTAATGCAGAGTATGATGGGGAAAATTATCAGTGTTAGAACTCAGTTCATTTGAGCTGAGAGATAGTAGCTATTATCCATATACTAGGGGCCCTGTGCATGAATTCATGCACCTTGAAAGGAACTGTGGGCCGAGAGGCAGGGGTGGACATAAGGACAAGTCTCGGCCCATCCTTGTGCCCCCCGCCCAGCCCCTCCCACTGCGGCCCCTGGTCCCCTGTCTGCCAGGAGCCCCACTCCCACCACTGCCACTTCCATGCACTGACAATACCTACCCTGCTCACACCCACTGATGGTATGAAGTGATTGGGGCCAGCCCTAGCAGTGGGTACAAACAAGATCAGTGCTATTAGCAGGTGCGAGTGGTGGCTGCTGCCCCAATCACCCTTCGGTTGTTCAGTTTTAAAACCCTAATATGCAAATAGACTGAATAGCAGAAACACCAATTTAACAACTGGTCGCTATGACGTGCGCTGACCACCAGGGGGTGCACGTGGAACATGGCAGGCATTGGCAGCAAGTGGCAGAGTGCAGAACATGGCAGGTGTCAGCTGGAGCAGGATGGTGAAGCAGCTGAGTGGGGTCACTAAACCAAGGTGAGGTGCCGGTCGAGGTCATCGAGACAAGCCTCTGGTGGTTACAGAAAATTCTTTGCCCCCATGCACCGTGGTCCTGCCCAGTGCTCTCACCCACTACTGGCACCAGAGCTGCTGCTCTCACCTGCTGCTGGCATCTGGCTCTGACCCCAATCACTTGGCACTGTCAGTCAGTACAAACAGTGGCTATTGGCCCTGATAGCCCCTCAGGGCTTCCCCACCTCCCCTTGCTCCTGAGGAGTGATCAGGGCAGCAGCTGCAGCTCATACCCACTGTACTCTACACCATCAGCAGATACAAAGGGGGCCAGCACCATCAGTGCATGGAAATGGTGGCAGCAAGAGTGGGGCTGCCAGCAGACAGGGAACTGGAGGCCACGGTGGGAGGGGCCAGGCAGGGTCATGGAGGATGGGTCTTAGCCAAGACCCATCCCTGTACCCACCCCTGCCTTGTGGCCCACAATTCCTTTCAAGGTGCATGCATTTGTGCACTGGGCCCCTAGTTGTGAAATACAAAAATAAAATTTTATAAAAGATTCAAAATTGAGAAAATTTTTCTACACCATTGAATCGTAGGGTTCTATCTGTTAATTACCAGTTTTCATTCTGACCTAGACAGGCCTTCCAGTCATAATGTGATACATCTCTGTCAGTGACACGTTACCAGCAACTCAGGGGCAGGAAGATCATGAAAGTTAACACATAATGCTCTTCAAGTGGAGTCTTTCTCTGTGCAACACTTACACCTCCATAATCGTGCACTTTCCCCATTTCCTGGGGGAAACATTTGGTCCTTTTTACACCATCAATCAAAAGTAGAACTGAAAAAAAGATTTAAAAAAATAAAAAATAATAAATTAAAAAGAATGCACAACTAAGGCATGCCATAGTACTCAAATAAAAGTAGAATAACAGTTAAATAAAAGTAAGTATAAGTTTTTTAAAAGAAGAACTGAAACATTTCTGTTTCCTCTACATGTGTTTGTACCGTTACTGATCATCTTTTTCTGAGAACATGTTTCTGAGCTTCCAACCACTTGTGGGTGGAAGCTCCAGACAAGGGCCCCTGCCTGACAAAACTGCAGAGCTTGGCAGTCTTCCAATATTAACGTATATGAGACAGGGAAGGTGACTGTAACATCAACCATTTTTCTAATTAAAGCACAGATATTTTGGTATTGGTTATAATCCAGGGAAGATTAAGCAATTTTACCTTATAAATTCTTACTGATTTACATATATCTATGAGGCAGGAACTGGAATTTATGTAGGCATAATTGTTGAGGCACATTGACAGTTTCAGTTTCAAGGATATGAATAAAATTATTTTAAACAGCAAATAAAGTCATGATGCTCTGCAAGTACAATGACAAACATGTAAATTTTGTACAAATTACATTCTGAAATCTGACATTTTTTTCTTTTATCATCTCTGTCATTATATAATACTATCATTGAGCATCCCTCTACATCCAGCCCTGCACCAAATAAGAGTAAGATTTATGAAGGCAGGAAGGAACCTCCTTTAAGTTATTCCTCATTGTATCAGATTTACATACAAGATACTGTATATGGGGAGTGAGATGTAAATAGAAAAACATACAGTTATATTGCTATGAATATAATTTTAATTATATTGAACTTGCTGGTGATAATTGTGATTCTGTTCTGTTGGTGGTATTGAGGTCAACATAATTACTGTGGTCATAATCAAATTCTGGTATTATTAGCATTTATGTAAATTCTTTTGACAAATTTTAAACAATTCTTCTTATGTTCTGTTTTGTTCCTAAGATATATTCAGATACCTGAATGTCTGTTGTTTATATATACCAAACATGTCAAACTCACGGCCCTCGGGCCACATGTGGCCCACAACAAATATTTTTGCAGCCCAGCCAATGTAATGGTATGTAAGAATGTTTTAATAAAAATGTCATAACTTGTTTTTCTAATATCCTAGTATACATAATTATTAATAATAAACTACAACGTTTGCTAATGACTGATTACTACAATCATGTTGCATTCATTTCCCTTACACACCTTACTCAAAGGTGCACCATTTCTCTCCACTAATACTAGCAGCGAATATTTTAGCAGCCAATTGCCACATCTATTAGTCTTGTACTGATTTGTTTGGTGTGCAGAACAGGAAATATTTTGCTTATGGACAAGAAAAATAGGTTTGTTTGCATTACACTTGTTAATTTGTGTAGTTATTCAGTGTCTGATAAATAAATGTTCAAGAAATATTAATTTTTATTAAAATGGTCTATTATTTTATATGAATGATTATTCATTTATTTCAGTCCTTTGTACTCAGTTTGTCTCTATCAAAATAAACTACATTTCTATGAAAATTCAAGTTTTTGGGTTTTATTGTGGCCCACATAAACTTAAACCCTGTTTATTTGGCCCCTGTTAGCCTTTGAGTTTGACATGTTTGATCTACACCACTACACTCTAACACATTATTTCCTGTGCCCTGTGTTTTTTTAGTCCAGAAACAATTAAAAAAATCATAGATCCAAAGTCAGAGAACTTCTCCCCAACAGGAGATGTAGGGACTAAAGGAAACACAGAGCCCTGAGGAGAATGTATTATTCCCTGGGCCTCGGAACATAATATGCTGGGAAGTAGACCACAGCAATGTGCTTAGCTCTGGAGATGGACTTAAAGTGATGGGAGAAGGATGATGGATCATTCTGGTTTCCCATTGGCCCACACTTCCGATTGGCCTTACAAGCTCCGATTTGCTCACTGGTGTCTCTCCACCTTAAATTTGATGTCTCAGAGGAAGACATACCAGCACCATTTCCCTTGTTCTCCAAGCCTCTCTTTAAGTTTCTGATTTCCTCAAACATTTTGCAGATTAATATTTTATACTGTATTCATACACAAGCTCAAACACATCAGGTCTTCTCTGTATCTGCTTTTTTTTTTTTTTTTCCAAATTTTGGATTGATCCAACATTTTACAACTCAAAGCAACCCTTCCTCAACCTACTCAAAAATGCATACTCTCTGTTGTAATTTAAGGTTTGAAATAAAAGGATTTCTTGGAGCTAAAGAGAAGAAATCTGATAAATTTATTTAATTTTAATAATAAATAATTAATTATAAAACAAGTATGTATAACAGGATATTTAATTTTAATAAAAAATAATTAATCATAAAATAATTACCGGTATGTATAACAGGATATTATAAAAAAATCTTTATCAGATTTTACACATCTTATTAACAAAAGGATTTCTTTCATCTTATTCCAAAAGCATTGAACCTCATAGAAACATTTCATAGGGTCAGGAAGGAGCACATTAGTTCTCTGGGGCCGAGGATGTGGGTTTAGGTCAGAGAATCAAAGGGAGGCAAGCATAAAACGATGAATATGGGATTTGTGGGAGGCACACATCCTAGCCTGTTTCTGTACATTCCACACACTGAGCCCTCCACTCACCTTCAATTGTCAACAAGTTTTATAGATCAAATATAGACTATACTAAAAAATCACTCTACTGCATATCTCTGCATCTACCAACAGGCCACAAATTATCCCGTTCTTCATTCTCAACTGTTAGAATGAAAACTGAGGCAATAAAATATATATATATATATATATATATATATATATATGGCTGAGTGTTATGACATGAAATACATTGACCCTAAAAACAAAATATCTACTTACACTATTTACTCAAAAGCAATAAATTGCCTATATTTCAGAAGACTGGACATGGGATCGTACCAAGGCCTGCATGAACATTCATTGCAGATTCAACTCCCTTTTCTCACGCTGGGGGTGGGTGGGTGGGTAGAAGAACAGGCTTCTCTTCAGTCCTGGGGACTGGCCATAGGCTTTCAGCCCACCTGGAAGAGTGAGGCCACTTAGGAGAAAACAACTGAAAATAAAAGCAGGCCTGTGAGTACCTGCTTGGGGGGGGGTGGGGGGTGGCGAGTGGGGGTGGGGGGGGGTATCAGAAGCAGAGCTTGAGTAGTCTTGACAGTGGTGTCTAGGACCTGCAAAGTGCTGTATCTAAAAATTTAGGTCTTTTTTTCCCTTGTAACTAGGAACTTC